ATGGAAAGTCGTGAATAATTGTAAGAAACGGTATGTAGCTCTTGTTGTCATTATTTTGAACAAAAAGTTTTACAAGAGTCCGTCAAAATTAAGGGTACCGTCTCTTTCGCTTGTTTTCCTTGTTTTCCTGCAATAAAAACTATAGATCAAGATGTTGTCTTTTTGACTAGATAAAAGATGTTTGTGTGACATTTGGAATCGACCAAACTTCAGTTGTGATGAGCATGAGGCCTGCAACTGTGACTGTATACGACTATTACGACCCAGGTAAGGACCTTATACTTTGACTATGTATCCACTAAATGGGGGCGGATTTTACTTAAGGGTGACATATAATGAGGAAATTGAGGAGACCAAACAATTGCGACATAAACGAATTCTTCGTAGAAGAACATATCTCAGCGTTAAAGACCCACGCACAGCCAAGGAACTGCGATCGTTTCTTTTGGATAATTTCCTGTTGAAAGGAGCTTTCTGATTGGTTCAAAATCAAAGATGGCAATGGCTCGCAAAGGCTCTCGGATGTACGTGAACCTTCAAATCAAAAAAGGATAATTCGAGTTCTCTTTTTCTACAACTTCTTATCAATGGATATAGGGGAGGTTATTTTCATAAAAAACTGGACGCTTGCTGAAAATGATCGAACAGTTCATACGTTCAAATATTTGTATTTTAACTTTATTCCAAGAATGCTCCACTAAAATATCATTTTAGAACCATAACAATGCTTCCAGAAGAAGAATAAACATCTAGAATTCAAAAACCTGAAATTGTCAATGAGTCAGTCCTAATAGATGCTTACGCCGAAGCCGGTAGTGAATTGAAAACATTAGAAAACAAAGGAATGGAAACGAGGYCTAAGGGCCCTGGAGGAGTTTAGATGGCAAATATCAAGGGATTCCATAAACCTGAATTCCAGAAAAACTGCTTGTCTGTAGGAAAAGGACATTTTCTTGCCTATTGTTTAATTCAATAAGAATATTTTTCAATCCCTAAGTTACTTCCGGTTTATGTCGTAAGCATGTATCATCTAGAGTTGGAGTAATTCCGCAGTCCCTCTCTTTGTATCACTGCGCTGAATTGAAAACCGGCGACCTTTTTTTAAATACCAAAAGAACTGAAATTAATATAGCAGAAGCCTTCCATATGTGAAAAAAGTTTTAACCACCATTCTTCGATTTGGTTTATATAATCAGTATTCGATATCAATTCTTATGATTACTAATTTTTGATTCTTTTAATTTTCAGATAAGTCAGCTTCTTCACAGTACACCATAACAAACGATCTTTGTACAACACAACCAGGCGCTTAGCCTCATTGGCCCCAAGCCCTCGGCAGATATAGATCGCCATTGTATTAGAGTTGATCTACCGCTACTTACTCTGATTGCATCATAGGCTTATTTTATCAGACCCAAATAGGCGGAACAACTTTTGCTTACAACCATCGCATGCGAACCTGCGTTTCATGTCATCCTTACTGAACGACTACAGCAATTGTTTTTGACCATTATAAAAAATCGTAGCTATGTTATAAGGATGACTTACGCAGGTTGTATGCGATGGTTCTAGGCAAAAGTTGTGTTGTCCGATTGCAGCCTTTACCAGCTGCATGTATTTTTATGTTTTAACCGTTTTTGTAGATTTCGCAAATGTGGAGAAATTAAAAGAAAGTGATTATAAATTCTGAAAACAAGTTTTAAAATTATGGCGTACACGTCGTTGTTTTGTTTGTGTTGAGGTGCGTTTCGACGACGCGTGTTTATTACAAAACATATAAAGTTTTCCATACACTGTATTCGATGGTTACGAAGATCTCATCCAAATTTT